TAGCAGGACAGACCGGGTCCTATATCCTTTGATTGCAACTAGTCTACCGCAGAAAGAAATAGCAATCTACTGCGGGAAAAAAATCTGCTTCGTCAGTCATGTATCGAAAGATACATGATCGCTTAAGTATGTATCACGCATGGCGCATAACTGATAAGATAATGTATGCCAAAAAAATTCTACACAGATGAAGAAAAAACTCTAAGTTGTATAAATGTCGTTCGAGAGAATGATACTAATTCTAGAGACAGTCGAATTCACGATGGAAATGTAAACAAAATGGCCACTTATAATTAGAATCACAAAAAGATAGTTGAAACTTCTGGGACTATATAAAATAGAAAGAAGGCTTAGGGAATTTGACACTTTCAGGACACATTAAAGACATAAAAGTGCAGAGGGAAACAAGTAACCTAGTTAACGTTCTTTTCTAAACAAATGGCAGAACAAAGATTCGGGAAGAGATAGTAAAAAGTTAAACATAGCTAAGAAATAAAAGAATAGGAAGTTGTAGATCGCCTACGTCCCGAAGAAGAAACGACACGTAGATAGAAGAATACCAAACTCATTGAGGTCATTTTTTATAATACGCTTATCATCCAAATCACCATTGATAATTCTTATAATACAATACCGCCTTCTTTTAAGACACGCGTGTGAGCAAAATTATCACCCACTCCCAGATATCTTCTGTTCAATATGCTAGATGTCTTTTTGAAAACAAACGGAAAAAAAGAAGAATTTTCTCGAAATTAATCAATGTGTCATTTCTCTAATATCCAAAACTGTATGAAGGAAAAAAAAACAATAAAAAACAGAAATGAGCGCAATAAAACTAAATCAAATCAGCAGACACTGAAAAAGATGCGATGGTATTTATATGAACGACATTCAAATTCAATTATCTTGATTGAAATTATCTTTTAGTATCATTTCCATATTCTATTCACATAATTTTTTTTTTGATTTCGTTGAAAAGCCAAAAGACACCAAAATATAAACAAGTTGCAGAATCAAGAGTAAATACAGAATGAAAGCTAGAGGAATAAAAGTGTCTGAGATTTCTTTGTCCCTTCACAAAATATTAGAAGCGTCTATTTCGTGTCTCACATATGATCGACGCCATGTTTTTAGCTCTCAGCGCAGCATACTACTAACGGAAAGTTTCAGAAAAAAATTCAATTCTGGATTGCGCCTTTCAAAACGTTATCAATTTTGAAATATGCATCTAAACTAGATATGCAGATAACTTGATTCCTTTTATCATAAACGATTTTTATAATGAAACACTGACTGTCAAGAAAACAAAACATATATATATATATATATATATATATATATATATATATATATATATATATATATATATATATTCGATGCGATGAGAAAGAAAAAAGTAATATATAAATTCCTACGTTCACAGCATTAACCAAAAAAGAGGGCTCGATACCGATAGTAGAGCGATAATTATTTATTTATTATAATTTTATCATATCGAGAAATACCATTTTACTCACTGCAAAGATGCAACTTGTTTTCAGTGCATTTCACCTGCACTTCGACGTGTAAGAATCGAAAATGCGTCTGGCGTGAAACAGCCTACAACCTCTAAGTGTTGACTTCATTGTTCGCTGTTATATCTATATTTACATACGCTCATATATGATATTGAGCACTTTATCCCATAAATATAGCACACCTTAAAACTATGTTTCTTCTGATATATATATATATATATATATATATATATATATATATATATATATATATATATATATATATCCGATGCGATGAGAAAAGAAAGTAATATATAAATTCTAACGTTCACAACATTAATCCAAAAGAGTGCTCGATACCGATAGTAGAGCGATAATTATTTATTTATTATAATTTTGCATATGGACAAAACCATTTTACTCACTACAAAGATGCAACTTCGTTTCTATTTTCGCTTCTTACCCGTCGAAGTAGTCTATATGATAAAATTATATATATATATATATATATATATATATATATATATATATATATATATATATATTGGAAAATGTATGATAAAGTAGAAAAAGAATTTCGTCATTTGGAATCGCGTCAAATTTCAGTATAACATTAAGAGATGGGAAAAAATTCTGGACAAATTTCCAAAGAAAATATTGCAGTATTATCAGTCATGTCCTATCGTTCCTGCTTCAATCACTATCCGCCCCGATAACGTAACTTGTCTGCACCTTTTCTGCAAATACCTTAATAGCAATTGTTGTGATGACCTTCTTTCTTTGTTACCCCAACTTGATGAATTTAAGGGGAGGGCGAGATTAGTAGTGAAGTCTCTATTTTACAAAAGAAATTACTACATGTAACAGGAACTTCTATTCGAAAAGTTTTTCTTTTGCTTTTCTCTCACACTTTTCGTCCAAGGAGCTCTCTTTTAGTTTTTATTGTTCTCTCTCTCTCTCTCTAATAATTTCGTATTACGTTACATTTTCACGCAAGAGAAAATTTGCCTTTGTATATCGAATGCGAAACGATTCTGCTTTATAGAATTTCCACCAGCAGTACTTGGACAGTGACACCGATTCGATAATCTTTTCTGCACGTTAAGAAGATTAGTGGACAAGAATAATCTGTCCTTTACATGATAAGCTGCATGCCAACGTCGAGTTTGAGAACCTGCTTCACGAAAGGGGACGTTAAGATAACCTTTGCTTTCATAGAAGATTGTGTAACGTCGGTTTTTACTGCACATGATGCTCGATATTCAAATGCTGCCATACTAAATCTTGAATCAAGTGAAGCGTGAAAATCGATTTTTTTTCTTCCCTATTATTGTTTTTCATTTAGTTTTAATTCCATTGCTTTTCACTTTCGGTTTTCTTTTTTCTTTTTTTTCAAAAAAGAAAAAAAGAAAAGGAAAATAATTCGTTGTCTTTTTGCGCATCTTTTCTCTTTAAATCTTTTCTCTACATTTTCCTTTTATTTTTCTCTATTTAAGCTATACTTTCTTTCAATATTTATTTTTGTTCTATCAATTCTTTCTATTCTCTCTTTTTATTTTATATTTTGCTTTGTCCAGAAGTAGGCTTTGCGGTCAATGAATTCTTTCTTTGGGAGAATAGCGACTATTAGGCGTTTTAATTAGTACGGATTTCATTGGACTGTCAAAGCCCTTTGTCAAAACTTCACGTTTGACATAGTTTGCCCAATAGCTCGAGGAAATTAATTTTGAACGACATAGTAAAAGTTTCGGCTATGAAGGGTGAAGGGAAAATAGAAAGAATGTGATTATCAAGATAAAAGGGGCTCAGCATACCCCCACCAAAAAAAAAATCCGTTTTAGGGGGGGGGAGAAAGAAGAACATTCGATTACAAATGAAGGAAAAATGTGGAAAATAGTGAAGAATATAAAAACAAAGAAATATATGAAATAAAATCATGTGAATCTGACAGATACAGAAGAAAAAATCATGAGAGAGAAGGTATAGGTGAGTGAAGGAAGGAGAGTAAGGATGAGAAAGAAAATTATGAGAGAGGATGATTAAGAAAGAGAAGGAAGCAGAGTAAGGACGAGAAAGAAAATTATGAGAGAGGATGATTAAGAAAGAGAAGGAAGGAGAGTAAGGATACGAAAAGAAAAATATGAGAGAAGATGAATAAGAAAGAGAAGTAAGGAGAGTAAGGATAAGAGAAAAATGAAAAATGATTAAGAGAGAGGAATGATTATGAGAAAGAGATGAAAGGATGATTAAGAATAAAGGAAGGAAAAATAAGAGAGAGAGGATGATTAAGAAAGAGAAGGAAGGAGAGTAAGAAAAAACAAAAATATGAGAGAGATGAATAAGAAAGAGAAATAAGGAAAAGGATTAGAAAGAAAAATATGAGAGAGAATGATTAAGAAAGAGATGAAAGGAGAGTAAGGATAAGAAAGAAAAATATGAGAGAGAATGATTAAGAAAGAGATGAAAGGAGAGTAAGGATAAGAAAGAAAAATATGAGAGAGAATGATTAAGAAAGAGATGAAAGGAGAGTAAGGATAAGAAAGAAAAATATGAGAGAAGATGAATAAGAAAGTGAAGGAAAGAGAGTAAGGATAAGAAAGAAAATTATGAGAGAGCCTGAATAAGAAAAAAGAAGAAAGGAGAGTAAGGATAAGAAAGAAAAATATGAGAGTGAATGAAAAGAAAGAAAAAAATTAAAGAAATAATAATATTAGAGAGAAATGAGTTTATGAATGAAACGGAAGAATGTGAATGAAAGAAGTATATGATTAAATATGCCTTTTATATATATATATATATATATATATATATATATATATATATATATATATATATATATATATATATATATATATAAATATATATAGTATTCAAACAACTGGTATTAATTGTGATACTTAAAGTCTTATACATGTGTTTTTTTTTTGCCGCAGATGCAATCAAGGGAATTTTGACTTCGGCTGATTTTTATAACTATAAAAAATTAATCAGGGACAATAACAACAATTAACCGTCGCTGCATACTTCAACCAACTATATCATAGCACTGATGACATCAGATACGTGATTTTAACATCTTCATTCAATGGCCGCAAATCGGAGTTGAAATTTATTTTCAAAGTAAATTCAAACATTGAGGGAATAAACAAGGATTTAGGTTTACTCAGAAAGTATAACTTCCACACGGAAAGCTACAACCAACGGAATTCCTCGAAAGAGTAAGAACCACTTCTTTGTTTACCGCTCGCATCTTTGAAAAACGGCACAGGCGTTTTCGAAAATTCCTACTTTACAATTTACCTCTTCAGCAAAAATGTTAATGTATAATAAAAATCAATTTTTTTACAATATTGGTATCATTTTGTCGTTTTTTTATTCTTTAAATTTTATTAATCATTCTATAAAATCTACGCATATATATATATATATATATATATATATATATATATATATATATATATATACTACTATATATATATATATATATATAAAATATAAATTAAAATAAAAAAAATTAAATTTCAACCTTAGCTTTGCGACTGCACGCTCCAAATGTTTGTATCTGTTATTAGTAACACATTTAAAACAAATATATTTCGATTCGCATTTTGTTTTCGACTCGGATGCTATCCGAATTTTACCAAAAACAAAATAATTTCCATGCCTGAAGATGACTGAATGTTCAGTCGAAAGTGCTTGCGTATTTAAGAAAGACATTATACAGCTTATAATAAAAAAAAACAAAAAAAAACAAGGATGATAACATTCATCGAGTGATTAGTAGGTTAAATGCATCTTTAAAATTTTGTTAGCGAAGGGATTTCGCCATTTACATCATTAACTTTACAAATTTATTATTTGTATGAATCATTCATTGTAATATAAGTTGAATAGCACAATCTTTGACATATATATATATATATATATATATATATATATATATATATATATATATATATATATATATATATATATATATATATATATATATATATATAATATAAAGGCACGGTGAAGTAATGGATAGCGGCTTGGATTGCGGAATGGGAGAGCAGAGTTCGAATTCCAGTCGAATCCATTTACGTGCTAATACCCTTGGGAAAGGTGTCAATCCTCTTCTTCTCCCTCCAGCTATGGGTAAATAGCAGGACAGAATGGATTCTATAGCCTTGATGGCAACTGGTCTAGGAGAAGGACAACTCTGAATTCAAACCCGGAGTGGAGCCCCAAAGGCGTATGGACTGAACTTTGTGCTACATTCCGGCAACTCCTGTATTGGTTTATCTTCTCCTTTGCGTTCTGCTAGCAAAGGCCGAGTGGGGGAACTAGACATACGGGCAGCCCTAGTTCTCCATCGTCTCTCAAGACGGACGGATGTCGACGATATATATATATATATATATATATATATATATATATATATATATATATATATATATATATATATATATATATATATTATATATATATATATATATATATATATATATTTAGGCGTGCTTTATGTATGGGATAAAGTGCTCAATATCAGAGATAGGGCCTCTGTAAATATAAAAGTGAACATTGAAGTCAAGACTTAGAGACAGTCTATTTCATGCTAGATGCAATCGTCAGGCCTAGCATGAAACAGACTTCAATATTCACTTTTGTAAATAAATATATATATATATATATATATATATATATATATATATATAGAGAGAGAGAGAGAGAGAGAGATAGATAGATAGATAGATAGATAGATAACAAGACAAAGTTTCAAATGTGCACACTGAAAAGTCACAAGGTAAGGTATGTTGTGATAAAGAAAACAAAGATAGTAACGTCGCCACATGTTAAAAAATATCAAACAAAAATAATAATGCTTGAATGTGGGTCAAACACAGGCGCATATCTACGATCAAACATGGCGGTTTTTAAAGTCTGAATTTGGCAAGTTATTTGTTGGTGATGATTATAACGGCGGGGGTTTAACTGCAGGGGTATATTATTTGTTTGGACACGTTTCAACATGAATATGTTTGAAGAGGTCGATTTATTTTGATTCGCATATGTATAAATGGCGTCAAAAGATATGAACAGAATACGAATTCAACGCAAACAACGGAATAGAAATAAATAAAGCGCGTGTGCCGGCATCGATATATATATATATATATATATATATATATATATATATATATATATATATATATATATTAAGAGTTTAACTAGCACGCAAGGGGTTACAACAAGTTGGAGCGAGAGCAAAGATGAGTGATAGAGGAAAGGATGAAGAGAAGGATAGAGGATAGATCAAGGCATCTGGAGACGTCGATTGACATTACATTGGAATGGTTGGATATTATAGCTATCAGGGAAACAGGAAGAGGGGAGGGAGTTCCACAGGCGAGAGGTGCGAGACATGAAGCTATTGGGGTAGAAGAGACGGCTACATTTAACAGTTTCGATAGTGAAAGGGTGAGAGCGAGATGCCAGCCTAGTAGAACGCTTAAATTCATGAAGTCTGGGAACCAGCGAAAGCAGCTCCTCGGAGAAGTTACCATGAAAGTATTTGTAAAAAAGACAGAGGGAGGCGATATATATATATATTCTTTGCATATAGGCAGAAAATGTCTTTTTGAGCCAAATACTATTAAAAACGACAGACATTACATTTCTGTAAAGATTTCTTTAACAAATGGATTCCAATGACGATTACGAAATTTGCTGAATTTTGTTTAATCGATTTTTTCGAGAATTAAATTTTCCTTTTGATAAAATATTTCTCTGGCTTCTAGATCTACGATTATCAACGAGATAACGATTGATTAATATGAAAATCAATACTGACCAGATGTATATTACTTACATTGATATATTAAAACTGAAATACGCCTGTATGAATATACGGACCCATTGAAAAGTAACTCCCTATTTTATGTAAGATGGACTCTCCCGTCTTGTAAAACGTAAAGTTAGATGGGAGTAACCATTATACATAAAATAGGGAGTTACTTTTCAGTCACTCTCTCTAGCTTATGTGCGTTTCAAATTAATCCCTAGTCTTTTGAACGGGAGGTTTATCCCTTGTTCCCTGTTTAGGAATGGATTTCCGGTTCCTTCTAAATTCTTTCCATACTCTTTCACTCACAATAGCCACTGGCGTTTTAGTGGCATTATCGCCTTGCTTGGGGTGAATTGATTAGAAAAAAGAAATAAAGATATCTGTCTTCTAGTGAGAAACTCGAAGAGATTGGGTGATTGCGTTATTTTTTTTCGGTTTATCAACCATTTCTGTGTTATTTAAACTCGAAATATTTTTAGGATTGAAGGAATAATTCTTGTTTCCTTTTTGTTTTGTTTTTTTGTTTTTTTAGAGATAACAATAATTTTTGCATGTATAAAGGCTAGTATTTAATCCGTATCTGGAGGAAGAGATGGATCTGTAACATTCCCAAGGGTATTTACGCGTAAATGAATGTAACGATCTTGACCGGGATTCGACCTCGTATCTCCACTTTCTCATCCGACCCAGTATATTTTGCACTACCCGCATATGTTAAGCTCAAAGAGAAACATCATGTATATAATTCTTTTATCTACAATCACGTTGAAAACCCCGGTTTCAGTACGATCAACGAAGTTAAGCAACGTCGAGACTGGTCAGTGGGTGACTGCTTTGGAATACTGGCTGCTGTAAGCGTGTTATGTGCAGGTGGTGTAATGGATTATGGCTCGGAATTGTTAATCGGAGAGCCGAGTTCTAATTCTCATTAACTTCGTTATATCCACTCACACACAATTACCCCTGGAAAAGTATGTAACTACCAATTCTCCTCACTGTTATGGGGTAAATAGTAAGGCTTGCCTCACGAAATCATTATTAAATTTAAAAAAAAGAATAAAAGAATCTTACCATCAAAAAATATCTTCTGGCTTTAATTAACTTTCCAAGGGTTGATGAACCGTAGAAAACAAATCAATGAAAAATATTTTTTGTTTGCTCAGAGGCATATCAACACCTCCTGGGTCATTTAATGTCAAAATGTTACTTTCTTGGGAGCATTAGTAATTTTTTAAATGCATTGTTGGTATATATATATATATATATATATATATATATATATATATATATATATATATATATTAATACTTATTACTGGTATTTTTTCTATGAAAATGTATTGCTGGTGTTTGACAACCATTTTATTATTCTTTCTGTTGTGGTAGGATCCACCTAATTTGCATAGTGGAGTACCGACCATATAAATATGGTTGGTGCCGGGAAGAGAGGGAGGAATCAAGAGATTCAATCCAGAGACTCTGCCCGACTGCGACTCAGTCAACACATTCTCCAGGAACGGTCTTACCAGGAATATACAAAAGACTATATGCAAATATTGTGTACACTTTCTTGTTTCAATACATTTTGTTCTAAGTACATTTTGTGTTGCATTATTATTCCATGCATTAATCAAGTTTCAACACTTTCATAATGTTTTGACACCGGTTTTAGGGTTAACTATTTGCCCATAGAACCTTAACAGTTGCTACCCCACCGCCTGAGTCAGGGTGGACCAGGGAAGAGCAGCAATCAAGGGGTAGATTCACACACTTCAAAACCTCCAATCTCCCAATAAGAAGCTACGTGTTGGATATAGCCTATATGCACAATGAATACGCCAAAATCTCTCACCAAATATCATATCGACATTTAGGTTGATGGTAAGTTTTGTAAGTACAATTAGTAAATACAAATACAAAGAAATTGATGCATCTTATCAATTTGAGTTTTATATTAATTTTTTTTTCTTTTTCAATCAAATTTCTTATCCTTTTTTTCCTATTAGGCAATAATACAATTTCTCTTCTTTTCTTGGACTGTGTGTTCCATTTGTTTCCATTTAAAAAAACCCAACCGCCTGCACCCCAAAGTCTTCTCACTTTTTGGCAAATAGGAATCTGAGCATTTATCTCCCCTTGCTAAAGTTTTAACACTCTATCGCTTAACTGCGCATGGCAAATATTAATGACGAAGAAGAATAAGAGAAGGAGGAGGAAAGATAAGAAAGACCAAAAGCAGCCAAGAAGAATATCAAGGGTTGCAGGGAGGATTGTGCTTTGAGCAGACGTCTTCCAACATGCTGAGTTTATTAAGTGATTTTCTGTTTAAAGTGCCGATGTTGTCTAATAACAGCTTTTATCGAAGCGAGAGTCTAAAATGGGTTGGCTAGTGCATTCGTGGGTAGCTAGGTAGGTAGGTAAATACGTACATTGGTAGGTAAAGAAATGCAATTTGATATACAGGCGGGAGAATGGTTTAATGGAAATGAACCAAACAAAACTCTGCTTAGAGATAGATAGATAGATAGATAGATAGATAGATAGATAGATAGATAGATGTGAAGAGCTAGCTAGTCAGCTAGATAGATAGATGTGAACATCATGAGATAGATAGATAGATAGATAGATAGATAGATAGATAGATAGATAGATAGATAGATAGATAGATGTGAACAGCTCTAGGAGAGATAGCAGTAACAGAGATTGTCTTTCACAAAAAATGAAAAACGTTTGAAAAGTGTTTGTATTTATAGATTTATGTATTTATCTGTGTCTGTGGTTGTATGTGAGATATAGTGTTATTACGCACATATTCAATATGTACATTGACTATATAAAATTCTCATATTTGCCTGTATCTGAATATTATATAGCTTCTCTAGTGTACAGGCAGAACGTGGTCTGTGATTCAACTTGGTCAATATGGATGTTGGATAATCACAAATGTGCCTGAGCAGATGTCTACAACATAGATGACCCATACTAGCAAATTTTGAGTGCTCTTTAAGTAAATTGCTATCATTTATACCTATCTATCTATGCATTTCTCTCTCTCTCTCTCTCTCTCTCTCTCTCTCTCTCTGCTTTTCTCTTCTCTCTCTATATATATATATATATATATATATATATATATATATATATATGGGTGTGTGTACGTGTATAGATATATATGTACACATATATATATATATGTGTGTGTGTGTCTCTGTGTGTGTCTGTGTGTGTGTGTGAGTGTGCGTGAAGAAATATAGTTTTAAAGTCTGCTATATTTATGGGATAAAGTGTAAATATAAATATAATAGTGAACCTTGAAATCAACACTCAGAAGCGACAGGCTGTTTCACGCTAGACGCAATCGTCAGGCCGCAGACTATTGTATGTGTGAATGTGTATATATGTGTGTGTGTGTGTGAGAGAGAGAGAGAGAGAGAGAGAAAGAGAGTATTGTTACGCTTTATACAGAAAACTTATCAATCTTCCTACTCTATTACATTTATTAAGTGCATTAATATGTCAGGTTCCAGTCTGACGTAGAAAAACCAAATATTATGATTTTGTTAACTTCTACGATTGGAAGAAATCCGAGTTAAGTGCAAAGTTCATCCATTTACACAGGGTTTACGAAAAATAAAACAAATAAGAAACACATATTTGAATTCTTACGTACGTAGAATTTCGCATGTGACGTTACACAAATAATCAAGTATTTGTTGGCAGATGAATATTCGGGCATGCGCAGGAAGGGTTTCTAGTCTTTGCGTCAGATTTATCTTGTAACGATTGCCTTGTCTCATCAAGAAGGAAAGCAACCTGACATAATTTAATGGCAAACGGGAGTAAAGAGAGGAGAAAAATTCATTACATATTATTCGGCTCATTGACTTTGTGTCTTTGCTTGTTCCGCATTTTAATTAATTCTATTTAAACCACACATTCGACTTAGCATCTATCTATCTATCTATCTATCTATCTATCTATCTATATATATATACACAAACAGAGAATGTCTCATATCGAGAACATTTCACATTGAACATGAAGAAAAATTAATTATTTTTAATAATATGTAGAAATCTCCACTTTTACCTGAAGACGGTCGCGAGACCAGAAACATGTGTCGTAGTAAAATTATGTAAAACAAAGCATAATATTTTTTCTAAATAAATCCACATTACAACCAAAAACGTTTGCGGCACCTCTCTTCTTTTTAATATACATACTTTTCTCTCGTTGGAACCACTACAACATATTTCTTTTATATATATATATATATATATATATATGTATATATATATATATATATATATATATATATATATAGATAGATAGATAGATAGATAGATAGATAGATGCTAAGTCGAATGTGTTGTTTAAATAGATCTATCTATCTATCTATCTATATATATATATATATATATATATATATATATATATATATATATATATATATATAGATAGATAGATAGATAGATAGATAGATAGATGAGATAACGATATATATTATATATTTTATATATCAAAAACAATATTGGAGAAAAATGTATGACAAAGTGGAAAAAGTTTCCAAGTGATGCGTTTCGTCCTCATCAGAGTAGATATGTTAAGTCGGTGCAGCTACGCATGCGCCCGAAAAAGGGATGATGGAATTTAATTTTAATTTAGCTGTTTTTATTTAGATTCTATTTCTTTTTTTTTTTCACATTACTTTTTTTAGTAGATATCCCACAATTTGGTAATAGAAGTTCTACAAAGATTAAAAAAAAAAAAAAAAATTTAGATTTTATTTTCCCAGCATTCCTCGTTCATGCGCATGTGTAGTCGCATCAACAAAGCAAAGTTAGATGGATGAAGTCCTAAATGGGAAACGCGTCACAAGTTAAATTTTACACTTTAACATACGTTTGCCCATATATATATATATATATATATATATATATATATATATATATATATATATATTTTTATAATTCTGTGTATTTTATATATCAACCAACAATATTTAGAAAAATATTATGACAAATTGAAAAAAAAAAAAAAAAAAAAATTTATGACGCGTTTCATCTATTACTATTTCATCAGATGGTTTTTTATTGATATTGCCACGCCTACACATACATACATACATATATATATATATATATATATATATATATATATATATATATATATATATATATATTATAAAGAGCCTAGACATAAATTTAATTGTTCACTGTAACGAAACTGACTACAATTTTGACATAGGAAATGCTGCTTTGATTAAATTAGAAAAAAATGCGTGTAGGCTCTTCCTGTATATCACCGTTCTTGGTAGATTTTCTGTTGTTACAATGTGAGATAATCAGTGACAAAGGTAATGGGAAGAAAAAGAATACAGATGAATTTGGTTAGATTGAAGAAATATTCTTTCAAAAATATTCTTTCAAAAATTTTGAAAATACCAGCATCTCTCGTTTCGTGCGCATGTGTAGACATGACATCACCAAGAAAGCCATGTCCGATGAAATTCTAACGGATGAAACACGTCACAAAAACTTTTTTCTAATTTGTCATACTATTTTTCTAAATATAAAATTGTGTATTGGGGCAACAATCCCTTTTTTTTTTTGACAAGTTTCATTACAGACGACTGACAAGTTACTGTGATTAAGCTATTAAGTTAATTTTTCTTGTGCTCATATTGGATATTTTACTTTCTAATCATAGAGTATAAAATGTTCAAATATTTGATACATCCGATCGCATTCGACTATTTTTTTAGTCATTTAACTATATATATATATATATATATATATATATATATATATATATATATATATATATATGGATTATTTTGTAACTTACAATTGAAGGAAGATGTTTTCATACCCATTAAAAAGGGATAAATAAAAATGAATGTTGTCTTGTCCATAATAATATGTGCTTGTGTACATACATCGTACACCTATAGATTACTTTCCCGCTCCTCTCTCACACACACACACATATATATATATATATATATATATATATATATATATATATATATATATATATATATGGATTTATGTCTATCCATTTTATTTTGTTAGTCAGCAGTTATTCTTTAATACATGTTTGATTAATTGTTGAAACAAGTAAGATCTTTATCTTGATTTGAATTTTTGTATACAAGGATTGTCCCTCTTATATTTGTACACGAGATTATCAAAATGGATTTAATGCAGTTGTCGTTGTCGCTCGTTTCTCATTTGTTTAATAAATAAAAATGCTTTAATAGACAGTAATATCTGATTAATTATTAAGGCTGTATAGTGATATAGTAATTCATTTTAATTCTGTCCACATTTAAGGGACACAGGATGTGACAATTATTGACTATTCCTATTATTTTACTGTCTGTATCGGCAAATTTCACAATTTCACAATGAAAATGCTGCACGTCTCTGTCTATGAATATGAAGAATGCAAATATGCGCATGCGTATATGAGAATGAGGCTGCATTTTTTATTTCCCTATATTCAACTGAACTGCACACAGTATCGAATATGCGTAACTTGGTTAATCGATCTATTTGCTTGCTGCAAATTCAAAGACCGCAACTTGGTTCAAATGACAATCCTAATGGTGACTGAAAAGCTCTATGAGAGACAGGCTGACATTTCTGGTTTAGAATTTACAACATTTAGAAATATACAAAAAGTGCGTTCACAGAGTGCAAAAAATAACACGTGTAAAAAATAGCGTGAATCATGTAAAAAAACACAAAAAAAAAACACGAGAAAAAAATAATATTTATATATTAGTATTTCTTCCACTTAAATCGAAAATATGCAAATAAAACACAAAAAAAAGGGGAAAAAACTTTAATGGTTAAATCAACTCGCTCAAGTTTTATGTTTCAGATTAATGCTGAAAGCTAAAATTCAAATCAAATAATAAATGCCAAAATGATTTTAAAATCTAATGGTTATTTCTTTTTCTATGTAAAGAAATACATGGTTTGGAGGTCTACTGATGAATAATTTATGAACCCTATTTTTTTTTATCCATAAACGGTTGGTGTACAGACCTTACCGTCTCAGAAATATGAGTTTATTCAGAAATAAAAGGGAAGTAATAACAACACTAAATAAATGGAATTTTCTAAGAAATTGCATGTAGAATCGAGGAATTTTTCGCGCTTATTTCCATAGGTTGCAGGGTATATTTTTAAACTCAAAAAGGGGTTCTTTTTCATAATGCTACGCTAAGGACGCTCCCAGTTTAACGACATTTCGCCTAAACATGATCTGATATAAAAGTTCATCCTGAAACAATTAAAAAAAGCATGTACTTGGAAATAAGTAATTCAAAAGACTTTATAGATTCAAATATTCCGCACATGTAAGAATGTATCTACATGCAAGCAATTTCTAAATTTTTAGAATTGAAAAACCCAAGAGACCAACATAAGCCTGGAAAGAATATCAGCGCGCATTTTTATGAGCTTTCATCCGGGTTACGTCAACAGCATGGGTTTTAGTTAAGGGATCAGATTTCATTATTTTACTGTTGAAATAGCCCAGTGTAACCGGCACTTCAATTCTGTCAGTTTAATTTCTCGTACATCTCGCATGTAGAACTAACTTCCTTTTCCTTGCTTCTCTGTCGCTTATGATCTTCACAAAATTAAATGCAACGTCAATCGCCAACTCC